CTGATCCCCTTCCTCTAAGCCCCTGCTCCTGTTGGCCCCAAGGGATGAGTTAGTCCTTCTGTCTCTTGGACACAACACTGATAGTGGTTTTTCAAAGTCTCCTGTTAAGGCCCACACTGGGGATGGATAGATGGATGTGCTGTCTTTGCATCATGGCCACAAAGGGCAGATAATTGAATTCAGATGCCCTCAAAGATCTAATTATTACCGCCTTTGTGTTGGGATCTTAGAGTATTTTTTTTTTGTAACTGCGAATATTGGCTACAATTGTAAATATAGGAGCTAAGCCTTGAGACAATCTTCCATCACCTCCTAAGGCAAAAGTCTGATTTCAGTCTGCACTGCACTATGTGTGAACAGACTGTGGGAAAACATTAGGGTGAAAGGGTAAACTTACCTTTCTGACATAATGTAGTGACTGTGTCCTTAGAATGTGTTTGTGAGGGTGGTAGATCTTCTGTTTTGTCTATCACTGAATCCCCAGTGCCAGGCAAAGCACCAAATTCTATGTTATTGGTAACAAGTTTTGAGGAGTTAACACACAGTTACTGGGTAGATTTGAATCATTCTGTTAAACAATTGAATAACGGTTGAGTATTTCATATGTGCACCTACAACAGACAAAGCCCTGCAGATAATTTGGATATGAATAAGAATTAATTTTAAAGAAACAATCTAGTAGAGAGATGGCATAAAACAGATACACTACAAATTATAATAAAATAATTCTTTATTCAAGATCCCACCAATATGCTGTTTGCTTTCAACAGAAGCAACATTTATTTCTACAGAGACTTGAAGTTTTGCTCTAGAGAACTGGGGAGCTGAGTCTTAAAATATGGGGGAGCAAAATCAGCAGAGAGAGCTTCAAGTCACAGAATGCCTTGCTCTAGAAATTAAAGTCTTTTCTGAGCCTCTGTAAAACTAGCAAAAATAAAGAATGCTATGTCTCAATAGCTGAAATAACTGTATTGTAATTTATTAAGCACTGCAACTTATTTAAGTCAGAAGTACTTTAAGCAATTCTGGGCAACTTCCCTTGGGGGGAAATGTGGCTTTTCTACCACTTCTTAAAGTGAAATGAGTCACTTGAAAAAAAAATATTTTTAAGAGCTTTTAATTTATTTTTAAATATCTGTCATTTTAATGAAAAAAGTAAATAAAGTAATAAAAAGTAAATAAAGAAATATGTTTCAAAAAAACCAAATAGTATTATTTTTTCATTATTTAGATACAAACAAAACTATGCAATCTCCCACAATCTCCCTCCACAACTTCTGTACCTCAGGGCAAATTTTAAAGTCATGATTCATCAAACCACAGTTAAACATTGAGAAGTTTTGTAACTCCTTTTGCAAAAGCAAGTTTGTTAACAAAATGAATTCTTAATTTTTTCAGAAAGTCTTTTTTAATGTTACTGACATTCACTATATAATTCTCTTCAACAAAGTGCTTTTTTACAACAACAAAACCCCATCTATAGAGTTTTAAAAAATATCTCATAGTTATGTTAACTTTAGTACACTCAAACTGCATAGAAATGTAACTTAGATGTTTCAGTTTAAAGGAAGTTTAGGAGACACTGCGATTTAAGAAGCTCATGAGGTTGTTTTTCTGATCTGCATTTCATTTCCATATGGCAAATATCACATGCTGTAAAGAATATTTGCCTAACCCACCATTTCTAATCCCAGTGAGTTTTCGTGCTCCCTCTTTACCCAACTAAGCCTTTATTCTCTTTACACTTAGAGTACTTTGAGCAAATTTACCTGTGTCCACAGCAAATAAGCCTCAGCCTCAGGCAGCTGACTTCTTTTTCACCCAGATGGAAATTAAACCTCAGTGTGCATATTGCAAGCACCTGCCACAGCCTCTTAAAAATGCAAAACCTTAACCCGGCAACGGGATACAGTTTCAAATAGGCAGAGGAGCTTCTGATGAAGCCTAAGGATCTTTAATTCTCTGGATTGACCACCATAAACCCATTAGCCGAATTCGAATTTCTTGGGGTTCATTTCCACCTGACTATCACATGTGGAATTTAGAATTGTTTCTTTTTCACATTGTGCTTATTTTTAGTCTCTCAGAAAGACTCCGGGTTATGTATCAGATTTAGGGAAAATGTTAGAATTTGCATGTTTGGCTTTGAGCTTAAAGATGATCATAGTTATAAAAAAGTGTGCAGGTCCCCAACCTGTGTATGTTATATTGTGATGCTCATTTTATGGTACTTTCATGAGTTTCCTTATTTTATGGGTATATAAAATATAAATACCTGAAAAGTTAAGTCAATGATTTTTATATGCTAGCTAGTTATACAACATTACTTCCAATATTTTTGTATAGTTATTTTGACAATGCGAAACATTTTGAATTATTTGGTTAATAAACTCCGCATTATATCTCCTGCCCTGATTATAACTGTTGGGAAAAAAATGTGATATGTTGTTGCAAAACTAAAGCATTATCTGATTCCTTTAAACTAGTTACATCTGTCTTGCGACATGAAAATAAAATGTTGCTCTAAGACATTGTCAAAATCAGAGATAACATACACAAAACAAAGTCTTTTAAAACCTCTTTATAGTAATCAACTTTTCCAAATATGAAGAGCAAAAATTCGTCAAAGAGCTATTCTTATATTTAGTCATTATTTGAAACAGTGCAAAAATGTATGTTTTCTATGAACGAGAGACATTTCTTCTTCAATGGCCATTCTGCACCTACACTTTCCTGGGGGTGCATCCCAAGGAACACGTTCACCACTATTAGCTTCAGTTCTTCAGGCATGGAAAAGCAACTGCTTCATGAGGCAGACATTCTGACCCATCCATTGCCTCTCCTAAGACTATGGGAGCATCAGTTGCAGCTTTTCTGTGGCTTGGCAGCTTAATAGAAATGTATTGCCCACAGTTCTGGAGGCTGCAAGTCCAAGATCAAGGAGCCATCAATGGTTCATTCTGAGGGCTGTGAGGGAAGGATCTGACCCTGGTATCTCTCCTTGGCCTGCGGATGGCTGTCTTCTCCCTGTTGCTTCCCATAACCTTCCCTTTGAACATTCTTGCCAGTGCTACATCTTTGCCCCTCAGCATGACTACATTTGTCCCCTTACACTACTGAGTTTTCACCTTCCTCCCATCAGGTCTTCAGCAAGAAAGGAGAATATGAGGAGATTCCTGATGGAAGGGGTATTCCTCATCTCTAAGGGTAGTAATGCTTTCTCTGTACTGATTTTTCTATCTTCTTAAATCTTCTAGAAGCATGGTCCCTCAACTGCATCATTCATTCCTTATCTTTACTCTCTTACCTTAATAGCCTCTAACTTTCCACCCAGAAATATATGCAGGTTTTCCACTCTCACTTCATAGTAAATGCCTTGTTGCCTTCACTTTATCACCATTTATTGCAAGTCTATGCCTGAGAGTGAGGACACTTACTCCATCCCTCAGCCCTCAATGCCCTTCTCAAACCACTTTCTCTCCACTGTACTTCTGAAACTTATGCTTAAGTCCATCATCTTCCTCTGGATTTCCAAATACAGGCCCCTCTAAAGCCTCTTTCTGAACTCCAGCCTTTCACAATGGGTTTCGCATCTTCCTTCCTGACACTCTCTCCTCAGTCCTTCCCCAGGATTACGTGCTCTCAGCTTGCTCTCTGTTCTTCTGAATTATCCTCTTGTGTGTATATTTTATTTTAATTGCTGCTGCTAGCTTGCTTTTAAACAAATAGCAATGTGCAGAGAATTCCTTTCTAACAGTCTTGCCAGTGAAGATCTCATACCCCCCCCCCAGTTTTTTTTTTAAACTCTTCTAGGTTAAATAAATATTCTACTAAACTAGGTTATGTGTATAAATTAATATGGAATGATGAATCTTGCGTTATATGTTATTATAGTGCACCAATAAAAATTAATGCAAAAACAGAATTATTTTAGCCAGATGTGTGGTTCATGCCTATAATCCCAGCAGCTCAGGAGGCTGAGGCAGGAGGATTGTGAGTTCAAAGCCAGCCTCAGCAAAAGTAAAGCACTAAACAACTCAGTGAGACCCTGTTTCTAAATAAAATACAAAATATGGTTGGGGATGTGGCTCAGTGGTCAAATGCCCCTGAGTTCAAACCCCATCACACCCCCCCCCAAAAAAGAAAAATTTTAAATTATTTTTAACCAATTTGATTAAAATAGAAATCAAGACAGACATCATTTCTAAATTTAAGGATGTGAAACCCTTGCTCATGTCCTGAGCAGGCTTAATTATGATTATCTGAAGACTTGCTATATTATTGTAAAATGTATATATGAATTTTTTCCTTTAGATTTAAAATAATTCTGAGTAATTATATTAGGAATTATATAGTCCAAATATATCTTTGGAATTATCTTGTGAACTGAACTTTCTTTTTTAGTTAGCAGACTAATTTTTAGAGAAATATCAGATCCAGGCTTTATTGTTGGGTTCAAGTTGATACCTTCATTCTTTTTTGCTGAATCTGTATCAGGAAAAACAACACAATTTATCAAAGGGTTGATCTATTACTCTTTTAAACAGTCATCTTCCTATACCAGATGTGATTAAGAAAATGAAGTTGCTTTTTTTTTGTCTTGTTTGCACACAGATAACTTTGGTTTTTGTTTTCTTAAATGAGATCCAACAAATGAGGTAGCATATCTAAACATACCTACCTATACTTATCTACAGGTAACGGGAAACCTATTTAGAGCCTTAGTTCTCAAAGTGCTTTTATCTGAGAACACATTAGAAATTAAAAAAAAAATGACTTTCATTTGTTATAAAATAGTGAGTGTGAGAAAGCTGTGGGGACATTTGGAGATTTCAGTGAACCACTGTTCATGATATATATGTGTGTGTGTGTGTGTTACGCATATATATGTGTGTGTGTGTGTGTGTATCTATATCTATATCAATATCAGGAATTGAACCCAGGGGAACTTCACCACCGAGTCACATTCCCATCCCTTATTATTTTTTATTTTGAGACAGGGTCTCCCCAAGATGTTGAGGCTGGCTTTGAACTTACAATCCTCCTGCCTCTTCTTCCTGAGCCTCTGGGATTACAGGTGTGTACCACTGCACCCAGCTCTTCTCCATGATTCTGAGTACACCTCTTCTTCCATATGAGCAATAGTGCTTAGAGAAACCTTAATAAAAAGGTTGGGGAGAAACCTCACCAATGTCAGACATTCTGCCACTCTTTCTCTGTTACGGTATGAGGGATACATGGGAGGCTCCCTATTTTTTCTCATTGTTTTGTTTCCTCTTCACTATCAGATTTTACAAAAAGAAGAAGAAATAAGTATGCTGTGAAAAAGTAATATGTACTGGGTGCTTTTAACTGTCTGCTTTTCTTTCCTCCTCTTCCTTTACTTTAGGTTCTCTTGCTATTTGTAAAGTAAATGGAGCTGATGAATCATCTTCTAGAAACAGAAGAGTGGTGAGTCATTTCTCTGGGGTTGTAGTTATCTGCATTTCTCTCACATACAGCATTGAAAAACTGATTCTCCTTCAGTGGTAACATATTTTATGTCTTCTTTTATTTCCAAAAATCCACTTGGCATTATGACTGTATGGGGAAAAAAGATTCCAACAGATTATTCACAGCAATATTACTCCAGGATTAGTGAATTTCTTTTCCTTTACGTTTGGGAGTTTCCCTTGCCTTTAGAGCCACAGCTGGAAGTTAATTTTGGAAAAATGTTCCTTAAACTTTCTTTTTCCAAATTCTACCACAAGTACTATGTTTATTGTTGCTATTTTGGGTTTGACAACACATTTCAAATCTGAACATGTAAAGCAATTCCCTTGGTTCATGCTGCTGGTATCAACAAAAACAAAATAAGATGGCATGTCTTTTAGATTGCTATATTTTACTTAAAAATACATGGACTTTTTTCTTAATTTCACAAGAGTGTCATTATGCAAGTATGAGCCAACATTTCCAAGACCAAAGTTAGAAATGCAAACACAAATAGAAAAAAGAAAAGAAAAGAAACCATATTTTACATAATTATCTTTTCCCTTCTCAGCTGACAATGTAAATATACTATTAGGAAGCTAGTGTACCTCTGTCAAGATCAATTTGCAAAGCTATCAATCAAATTAATTAGCATCTAATTAATTAATTTTTATATTTAGCACATAACAATGTGATAGGTACCAAAATACAGATAGATACTTTTTCCAATATTCAAATTAGATGACCATCTGACTGTAGGCTATATTGACTTCATTGAAATTGGCATTGTGTTCTAAATATTGCCAAATCTTACAAAGGTATTCTCATTGTTTTTTCTTGCCTGACCTACATAATTACCTGTGATATCTATGAGGAAAGAGGAAAAAGAACAAAGCACTAAAATGCAAAATAAACAGAACCATGTGTGAGGCAGCTCACATTTGTGCATAGTTTTATGGAAACATCATACATTATTTTGTGAGGTTTAATAAAGAATTAAAAATGAATCACTCTTGAGGTTACGGGAACAAATTCCCCTTCCTTACGTCAGGTGGGAAACTTCTTATGATACCTGCTCTGTGATAGTTGCTACTCCATTAATCCTTTGAATGTGCAGTTTTAGTTCAACTACTTTCCAGTGTCAAGGATCTATTTGTATCAAAGTTTATAGATGAATGATTTTCTTCAAAAGAATTAATATAGATAGGCCTTGCTCTAATGCTAATGTTTTTATTGAATGTTATAATATTCAAATTTTTAATTTTAACTCTGTTCAAAATTTGGAACCCCTCTGGATTTTTTTAAAAATATTTCTTACAGGTACAAAAAGAATTTTATTTTGAAGGCAGAAAAAATGATGGTGAGATATGAACAGAAAATTACTCATCCCTGAATAATGTTAAAATTTACAAATGTATTTTTTTTGCAATTGTCACAAGAATTCTTGTGGTTAGGCAGCATTGGTATTATTACTCCTATATACAAAAGTAGTAACAAGTTCAAGGAAATTAAATATGTCCAAAGGGTCACATAGTAATAGGTAATGGAGCTGGAATTCAAACCCTTTTCTTTCTTTGATTTTTTTGGTTTTCAAGTTAATGTACAATCTATTTAATTTAAAAGTGTGCCAATATTTGGCATTAGGATTCGAGCAGACAGCACTGCATACTTGAAACTGTATCGAATTCTTTCCCATCTGAGGGAAAAAATGTGCAAAAGGAAGAAGGGAGGAAAAAAATCTGTCCTTCCGTTTCTTCTTACTGTCAGCTGAGTTGGTTTAGTGAGTAGTTTTGCAAGAGTCGTTTCACTTTGTTTTTGGACAAAGCTGAGCCTGTACTTCAAACAAAAGGAAGCCAATTACTAACTTCTGGTTGCTAGGTGTGGCCTCCGTTCAAATCCTATAAAATCAGAAGTACAAGGCTCCACTTCTAGACTGCAACCTTCAGAGAAGAGCCTCTCTTTCATTCTTTAGAAGAAGGTAGAAAAAAGGTAAGCCTTGATTTTGCCTTTAGATAGCTTGGGTTGTTTTGAAAACTTTTCCAACACCAGTAAAAACTCTTTAGATTTTTCTCTGTGTTTTTCTAAGGAGTTTGATGAACTTGACTGTTATTGCTTCTATAGAATTTGTGGCTAGTTGCATTAATATGCTTTAATAAATCTGTAAAATCACATTGGATATTTATGTATATTTTAAGAATCGCAAATTGGAATGTTTATTTTATTTAAGGAACATTTTCAAAAATATGTTAAGTTTTCTTCCTGTACTGTTGTTGAGTTACCATGGAAAAGAAGGAAAGAATGTGCTTGGCCTGTGCCAGCCTGGAAAGATTGTGTTTTTCCTTCCTTCCTCCTTGGATCCCCTGTCTCCAGGAGCTGTGTGTGTGTTACATGTAAATCATGCTGGAGGGGGTACTTGGTGGGGGGGTGGTCAGAGAAACAGGGGTGTCACTGATAGGTTACAAGGAACTATTAAGTTTCATAATTTATTTTTCTCTTTTGTAAGGCAAACTAAAGAGACCTCAGAGCGGTAATTGTGCTCTTTGCAATTAACGTTTTAAAATTAATGTTATGTTTACTCATATAGTTTAAGAAGGCCCACTTATGACTCATTTCATTTAAACAGGGTGTGGTCACATTCTTTTCCCTGGAGTCTCTGTGTCATGGACAGGCTTTTCCAGTGCTGGTTTGAAAACCTAAGGGAAAGGAAATATTTCCTGGGTGGTGTCAGATAAGTCATCCCATGGGAATGCCAGAGGGGCCTTCAAAAAGCTCTTCTAGCTTAGCAGTATCTTGACTGTTGAATGAGCTAATGGTCACAGAACTCCTTAGGAAAACACAAAGCAAGTCTTGAGAGCTTTGCTACGTGAGAGATTATGAATCATAACCTTACAAATGTTCCTTCAAGGATTTTTCTTTTAAACATTTTAAATGTTAATTAAATGCCTTGATTTCTAATTTTTAATGTTAGCTAATTAAGAAAGATGTGCTTTTTCTTGCTTTGGTTGTGCCTAAAATTATGTAGACACTTTGAAAAAGCAATGTTCTCCTATGTCTGCAGAAAAGTATTTTGGTAGCTGTAAGAGAAGGCATGTTACAAATGATTCAAATGTGGAAAAATACTGGTTTCATAACTCTGAAATGATCTCTTACCCAGAAGTTATGTTACCGCCCTAGCCCCAGGCATCCACATCTGGCAGACACCCAACATATGATTGATGTTGGCAAAATAATAACAACACTATTAGGGAACCAGCTAGAGTTTCAAGCTTATTAAGTACTTTTTTCAATCAAAACATCTGCAAAGTTGATTTCAGTACATGATACTAGCTATCTAAACTGATTGTTCTTAATTCTCTCTAGAACCATTAATTTGTGACTTATTTAACATCAAAGCAAAGTGAATGGGCCTATTACATTTAGTGATAAGCTATAAATTGTTTTGAAGTAAACTACTTCCTTTTCCTTTGAGTTCTGACAGATATTTATCATGAAGATCATGATAGATCCAATAGTAGCCTTCCTTCATCAGGCTAACTTTCTTCACCTCCAACCACTCAAGGTGAAATTTAAGATTGGTACTTCGGAGCTGTAATGGTTTTTAGATAGTATTCATTCCAAGATTTATATTTTATCAATTAAAACCATCTGGAGAAGTTTGATATTTCCTTGGGGTCAAATTGCTAATAGAATAGAGGAAAGGGATCTAAAGTGAGGGAGGAGGGGAGCAGGAGGAACTACTAGGAAAAGAAATCTACCAAGATATACTACATCCATGTATGAATATACCAGAGTGAATCCTGCTTATATATATGTATATAATAATGTACTAATTAAAATAATGATGAAGATATTATTATTAATAATAATAGAAGGAAAATCAATATAGTAAAACAAGTGGATGGGGGAGAGGGAAAACTCAGCAAATTATGTTATATACAAATTTGGACTTGATATAATGAATTCCACTTTTACGTATAATTAAAATGCACCAGTAATAAATAAGTAAAAATGAAGAAAATCCAATTAAGGCCAGGAGTACTTTAGTTTTTAAGTTGCTATTCCATAGATGTGGATAGATGATGATTAAACCGGTATAGATCTTTTCTAAAATCCTAGCAATGATGCATTATTTATTAATTCAATAATAGTTACAAACATACTAAATACCAGGCATTTTTCCAGGGTTAGGATGTACATAATGAATGATATATTTGCTCTGCTCTCATGGAATGCTTCTGGGGGCTATAAATGAGTCATCAGAAAGGGGTAAGAGCACAATAGTTGAGCTACTGCAGAGATGAAGACAGTATGCTTTGGGAGAGCACAGAAGGTCAATCCAGTGCTGAGGACTCAATGAAGGCTTGGTGTAGGATGTGATGGGTCCTCTATGCTAAGTCTTCACTTAGAAGTAAGCAGTTAGTTAGGTGAATGGAAGAGGGTGTGCAGGAGAAAGCACATTTCAGGCAATGGAAACTCCCTATTCAAAAAGCTAGAAGTAAAACATGTATCAACTTACATTTCATAAATTGGTTCCTCAGAATCAGGCCATTGTATAGTTTAATTGTCTTCTTCTCAAGAATAGCAATGGTAAGGATTTATAAAATACATAGTCAAGGAAAAAAAATGTACTAGGCCAAAGCATTTAAAAATAAACTCCCTAGTGCTGCTATGAAATCTGCTATAGTCTCCATGGTTTGATTGTTAATGAATGTGATTTTCAAGTGTGAGTTATTAAAAATAATATTGTCCTTGATATTATTGTCTTTTGGTCACTAATTTTTAAAGCATGTAACACGTAGAAGTCAGAAGGCATGGATTTGTGTCACAATTCTGGCCACTACTAGCTACAACACTGACTGAAAATCACGCTCTTTTTTTCCTAGACAGAAAATGAGATTATGATGATAAACTTGTTCCAAACAAGAGGCGATGCTACTGGCATTGCAGAATTCTGATAGTTCTTGCATGTAACCCAGACAAATCATGAAGATATCTCCTCCAGGGACACTCTCTTGTGTCAAATAAATTGCTCAAGCCTGTTAGCTTTTGTATGTTGTGTTATGCAGTTAACATAGTAATATCACTGTTGTAACCAGGAAGTTATGGTAAACCACAGAACAAAGCTTCCTCTGTCACAAGTTCTGGAAGTTGCCTTTCATAAGGCTGATAAGGATAGAAAAATGATGGGGACTCTCTTAGGACACACAAATATACAAAAATATTCTAACCTTTAAAAAGCTACATATTTAGTCCACAGATAAAGTGAGATTGGTATATAGTGCTTGTTCATCAGTCATAAGAAATGTGGAACATTATTTATTTTCTTGTAGGTCAGCCCTATGTACAAATAGCTAATTTCACCCCAAAATAGCTGATGCTCATCATGGAGATAAACTTGGTTTGAAACTCACTGGTAGCTAATTGAAATACATATTAACCTAAAATACTTAGTAGAATAGGATCTTAAAAACCTAGTCAAGTTTTAAACATATTATTAAAAAAGAAAATGTATTTTGAACTCTTAAGTTTAAGGTGGTTTTCATACACAGTGTAAAGTAGTGAATAGGCAGAGGGATTTAGTAATAAAATTGGGCCAAAATTTTGTTTTGCTGTGGTATTTGTAAGGTGTGCTATGGTTATGCAAAAATTCTGTTAATACATGAAATTTGATGAGGGCACTAAACTAGCAGACTATGGTAAAATATGTTTCCTTTAGAGCAGTTTCTTACATCCTACCATCATCTTGTGTCTAAGCTTTGCTAAGAGCTAGAAGATGTTATTTGACAGACTCAACTTTCATTTCCCTCCCTGGACTGTCTTGAGGGTGATTCCATTCTCATGCTTTTCTCTCCTAGACAATGTTTCTAGGCCAAGAGTCCAGACTAAAATGTAGGCACTCAGAAGTTACAAGTCACAAAGCTCTCTTGTCTAAGGACACTCATGTCAAATAAATTATTCAATTCCCTTATTGTTATTTTGTGTTGTGTAATTAATACAGCAATATCATTATTTTCCTAGACTTTCTCAGTATTTTTAATGGATGTACTTTTAGTAGCACATTTGCAAATATTCTTATTTCTGCTTTGCTCTCTTTAGGAATTTTTCTTCTCTAGTTGAAAAGAATAGAATTATTGAACATGTTTTTATAAGTAATAGAAAAAAAAAACTTTGCCAAGTGACCAATTATATTACTTTTTTTGAGGATTCTACTTTATTAAAGGTTTGAGTGAGATGATGAAAAAGAAATTCTGAATATTTGAAATTTTACTAGAATTGCTATGCAATGTAGGATGTGCCAATTAAACAGTTTGCATTTGAAATTTCATGTGGCAATAGCAATTGCACCAGATTAGACTATAATGGGAAGTAAAATCTTGTGCAAAACTGCACATCATGACTTTACCATAGGAAAACAGCTAAATTTATGGGTTGCTGGAGAGAAGAAAATGCATTAACTGAATGCACAATATACTGGTTTTTCACACAGATGACAAAATAGTAATTTGAACAATTCCCACGATAATTAAGTGGCAGTTGTTTCTGCTTTGGATATTATTTCCCTCAGGTATTTAATCTCATTACTTGGACGTGCAGTCATTTTTCAGCAGGTGTGGATTGAAATACTTTGTCTGAACATGCTGTTAAGGAATCAGGTTATGAGTTTTACTCCTCATGAGTCACTTCACTTCATATCATGAATTTAAAACTGCAGAGATTATTTTTTCAACCTCCTTCACAAGAATCCATGAGAGTAGTCTCCAAAGTGATATAACAAAAGGGTGTGGAAAGAGATATCAGGGTAGATTTTCAGTATGAGCTTCTAAAATACAGCTCCAGAGAAAAAGGATCATTGATGGCATTTTTTGTGTGTGTGTGTACATGAAGAAAACAGAAGACACATTAATTTTTAACATGCATTAAGTTTTAAAAATACATATGCTCCATTAAGTAAAAATATTATCACAACAGAACAATTTAAGAAATTTTATTTAAGATAAAGTTTGACATCAGGGCATGCATGCTGCAATTTCACTCCAGTGCTTCTTGTTAGAAAAAAAATATTGGTACAAAATAATCCATGTCCAGCTGTGTGTGTGTGTGTGTGTGTGTACATGCATGCATGCATATGTGTTGAGCAAAAAAACACATGTCTAATACTTAGTTCAGATAGAAGGAAATGTGAAGATAGCAATTACTATAAGTAGTGAAACCATTTTTCACCCAGAAATGGAAGAAGAAAGTGGATGATTTGGGAAGAAATACATGGATTTTTGAGTAAATTGAGTTTTAAGTAAACCACACCTGCAGATTGTTACAGAATATTGACCTCGGGCTGGGGATGTGGCTCAAGCGGTAGCGCGCTTGCCTGGCATGCGTGCGTCCTGGGTTGGATCCTCAGCACCACATACAAATAAAGATGTTGTGTCCACCGATAACTAAAAAATAAATAAATAAAAAAAAATTCTCTCCCTCTCTCACTCTCTCTTTAAAAAAAAACAAAGAATATTGACCTCACAAATGTAATACTTATGCTTTTTCTCTAAGCATCCCATGGTACAGGCCCTAATTCATCTCACACAAATTCTCTAATAACCTACTAAGTGATCTCCAATCCTCCAACTTGTCCGTGTCTTAGTCATTCTCCATGACCTGCAATGAAGTTTCTTTCTGAAATATAAATGAAATTATGCCACTTTGTTTTTACAAAGGTATCATTTCCTTAATGCTCTGGACATACATTTGAACTTCTTTGTTTCAGCTTCTGTCAACATTTTTCGTCCCAGCAAACTTTTTTCAGCTTTCCAAATAAGATCAACTTCTCTGTTTTATTCTCTTCTACTTTCTGACAGATTAATCTTGACTCATTTCGTAAAAGGCTTTGCTCAGCCAGCACTTGTTCTAAGAAGGTTAGGATTAAATATACCAAGAAAGAGTTCAGTTTCTGAGTGGAGACTATGAGTTTCTTTTTTAGAGTTAGACCATTTAAAATAACTACACTTCATATTTATTATGCCCCTAAATACAATCCCAGCAAGTAAGCACCAGGTAACTTTATAATGTTATGTCTTGGGTATGTAGGGGGAGTGTTTGTGTGTGGTGGGTTTATTTCATAAAGACATCTACCCATTTTCTTTCCAGACACTTCTTTGAAAATGGCAATGGTATCAGAATTCCTCAAGCAGGCCTGGTTTATTGACAACCAAGAGCAGGAATATGTTGTAAGTACAATGACTTAGTTACCATTTTCAAATGGAATTAACACAAGTAAACGGACATTAATGTATGCCTCTATCTCCACCATAGCAAACTGTGAAATCATCCAAAGGTGGTCCTGGGTCAGCCGTGAGCCCCTATCCTAGCTTCAATCCTTCCTCGGATGTTGAAGCTTTGCACAAAGCCATCATGGCTAAAGGTGAGTGTGTCTCCTGAGGACAGCTGCTCCCCAGAACTCCAGAGTGGCTTTCCATTGGCTGTTGAATAATAGACCTGAGAGACTGGAAAGAGAATTTCATTTGAAGATAAAAGTTCTCTTTGTTGAATGAAGATATATTTCCTTTCTTGTTACTTTGAAAAATGTGGTATAATCAATGGAATAAATGCTATAACAGGTATCCACAGAACCCATTTCAAGCAGATACTCAATCCTGAAATCACCATTCTGATCACTTTTAGGGTTTAAACTGGGACCAAACCCTGTGACACTGAGGTCCAGGGACAATTAATTGGAATTTCATTTTTCATTCAAATGAATGAAATGCCATCCTAAATGCTTTAGCTTGATAGTAGTGTAGCATTTATTTTTTGGGATGACATAATTTATATTTTTTGGTTTGTTTAGAACCTCACTTGGAGCACCTTGAAAATGAATCATTTTATGTTAGCTGTTGATTATGAGGAAAATTGATTTTAAAGCCTGGAGTCTCTTTATTTCCAGGTGTGGATGAAGCAACCATTATTGACATTCTGACTAAGAGAAACAATGCTCAGCGTCAACAAATCAAAGCTGCATACCTCCAGGAAAAGGGAAAGGTAGGTTTGAAGTTTGATTTGGGTTTTATTTATGCATAATTGTAGATTCTGAAGCACACTTACCTAGTTTTTCAAGTTTCTAGCTATCGTTCTCCCATTATATCTGAGACTGGCATTGCAGTATTTATTCATCCATTTCATTACAATTTATTCAAGTTTAGCAAATTAGTTGGTTTCATATGCTGGTCATCTTTGTGTAAGTTCTTTGCAGAAGTGATGTTCTATATTAGAGATAAGTCTTCAATCTGAACATAACAAATATTAAAATTAATATAGGTGACAAAGAATATATTTTGATTGGAGTGCATCTTCTGCTAAATTTTAAATGAGTTGAAATTTAAAGTTTGTATATATTTATTTTAGACGTAAGCTTTGCATCTTCTACAGAAAATATGGATATAATTTTTTTTTAAATTGGTGCCATTAGAAAGCTGTAAATCATTGATGTTCAATGATAGTACTTATCTGAGCAGCACAAAGCTCAATGCTTGGAAAACTTCATATCGTGTTTTAAAAGTATTCTTACTACTATTTTCTGTTGATAACACAGATTTCTGTTCTTTGAACTGTGTGATTTCTTTTCTGTATTAAGATTGAGAACCCTATTCTCTAAGAAATTAAAAATAGATTCATTAAATTTCATCTAATCTCTCTAGATCTAAAAAATGAAGATGACATTCCTAAATATCTGTCATGTTTGTCAAGACTCTAAAAGATGGCTGTGTTTAGGAAATTCTAGCAAGATGACCTAAGATCAAGTATCACCACATTGCTATATAAGCTAGCACCTAACTTCTTCTAAACTTTCTTATAGCCCCTGGATGAAATTCTGAAGAAAGCCCTTACAGGTCACCTGGAAGAAGTTGTTTTAGCTCTGCTGAAAACTCCAGCCCAATTTGATGCAGATGAGCTCCGTGCTGCCATGAAGGTAACCCTCCTGATTAGGCAAAACTCCTTTCTTAGGACAGTAAATGGAGCAAGTCTGCTTATTCCTAGCATCACCTCTTCAATATCTAGTACAGTGTATGTCAATCAGTGGGAGCTCAATGAATTAGTAAATCAATAATTCAATAAATATAAATTAGTAGAGAAAAAATAAATGTTGGCACTAATATCCTTCTTGAACATGATCTAAATCAAATATCTACATTTTTATGTCTTTACCTGAAATATTGGTTTTTAAACCCAATTTGTTTTAGAGGCATACAGTAAATAGAATTTATCATAATTATTAAAAATTACAGGTGAAATTGACATGATTAAATTCAAACAAGTTAAATTCAAATTAAATTAAAAAAAATCTGGTTGATCCTCCTGAATCCAGATTTGTATATGTTTTTCCTTTTCTCTTCTTTCAATTCAGGGACTTGGGACTGATGAAGACACTCTGATTGAAATTTTGGCATCAAGAAATAACAGAGAAATAAGAGAAATTAACAGAGTCTACAGAGATGGTAAGTTGTAGTGTCCAACAGTCCAAGTGTGCTCCTGGGAAAGGAATTCTGATACATTATCTTAAAATTAAATGCAGATGTTGGTTGTGCAGGCTTTGGAAAGCCTACCTATTAAAATGTGTCTTTACTGTTTTACACATGTCTACTGAAAGCATACATTGTTATCAGGCAGCATTCAATGTGCTAGAGTGCTGATATCCCAGGTCCCAGGTCACATGGGTCTGGCATTTAATAGAAAATATCCATCCAGAACTAATAGGCTCAAGTTATTAGGATGGAGACCTTAATTCAGAGCATTGTGTTCTGAGAGTTATTTCATGAAAATGGTCCAGTATTATTTTTTTTTTAATTTTGAGAAGAGTATGTAATAAAACATTTCAAAAATATTGTTCACCTGTCTTTGACAAAGAAAAGAATTAGGTACTTTTAATTCTATGTTGGAAACCTTAACTTTACCATTATGAACATAAATGATTCCCATACTCTTTATCTCAATTAGATTCATGGTATAGAGAGACCAACCATGACTCATTTTACCTATTCAGTGAAATATCTCATTTAAATGACATGCTCCCCACTAATAAGAGGATACCCACATATCAATTACTATTTTCCTTTTCTTTCCCCAAACCAATACATGACTCCCTCCATTAGATATCTTCCTCCCTTGTTCTCATATCAAGCCCTGAAAGCCCAAAAGTTCTTATATGTTGTTTTTAGAACAATATAATAAAAGTATGAAAGCAAGAAGATTTTAACTTAATTTTTGAAATGTTTATGTCATTACAGATGTTTACCTTATATCTATTTATCAGTGATAATAACCAAAAGGGACATTGTTATTAATTTTTGTTTGATAAAGCATATTTCATAAAGGTAAACATCCATATTTCTCCATTATGATGAAGATTAGTCCATTGATAGCTTATTAAATTGCTCTGTTTCTAGTCAATTACAAATTCAGCTATTTTTTTTTTCTATTACAGCATGATTTTATACACTTAATGAGTGTATATAGACAGGTTAAAATATCTCTATACACATACATACATCATTAAGCTATATTGCATACAAGATAGTTATACTTTTTAAAGTAAATAAATAATTTATGCTGAAGTGTGTATTTTTGTTTTATTCTTTTAAATACCTGCTCTATTCACTATATTGCTTAATTCTGGCATACTTTTATTTCAAAATTATTTGGTAAATATGTACTTAAGCAAATTATTCTTGTTAGAAAAAACTTTTTGACTCTGGGTTTTCATTCACAGTGTTGTTCAGATTGCTTCCAATGCCCTACAGGAAATAATTTATTTATTTGTTGTCATTAACTATACATGACAGTAAAATGCATTTTGACTCATTGTACATAAATGGAGCATAACTTTTCATTTCTCTGATTTGTACACAATGCAGTCATGCCTTTCGTGCAGTCCTACATGTACATAGAGTAATAATGTCCATCTCTTTCCACCAGCTTTCTCACCTTCACCCCCCTCCCTTCCCATCATTCCTCTTTGCCCAATGCAAAATTCCTCCATTCTTCCCTTGTTCACTCCCCCACACCATTATGTATCAGCGTTCACTTATCAGAGAAAACATTTGGCCTTTGTTTTTGTGGGATTGGCTTACTTTGCTTAGCATGATATTTTCCAGCTCTATCCATTTACCTGCAAATGCCATAATTTCATTCTTTTTTAAGACTGAGTAATATTTCATTGTGTTTATAAACCACAGTTTCTTTATCCATGCATCTATTGAAGGGCATCTAGGTTGGTTAGGAAATCAATTTCATTATCTAAAATTTCACCTGTTCTAATTTCTCAAATTTTATTCAAAAATGATAATAATTTGAAATATGTTTCATAAGTCAATGGACATTGTGGCAATTATAAGTTGTAAGCAAATACAGACATGTCAGATATGGTTATTCTATTATTAGCACCATTGTTTTTCAATAGCTTACTAAAAAACTATTTTTCTTGTTTCTTAGAACTGAAAAGAGATCTAGCCAAAGACATCACCTCAGACACATCTGGAGACTTTAGGAATGCTTTGCTTTCTCTTGCTAAGGTATAACACATACTTTGGGAAATTCCTCTGCTCTTTTATGAACAGTAAAATCTGATATTTGAACCCTCTCTAGAAATAAGTAATTAACTATTTTTCTTTATTTTCTTTTTTTAATTAATACTATTTTAATTGATAAATCATATTGCATTTATGGGTACATTGTGATGTTTTATATATGTATACATGTGGGATTATTAAATCAAGCTAAATAGTATACTCATTACCTTGATTAACTATCCTTTTTTTATGGTGAAACATTTGAAATTTACTCTCTTAGTTACTTAGAAATATACACTATATTAAATCATTGACTATGGTCACCTTGCTGTGCAATAGATCCCCAAACTTATGCTTCCAGTGTGAAACTTAGTACTCCTGGGTCAATATTTTCCCTTCCCCCTGACTCTGGTAACCATCTACTCTCCACTTCTGTGACTTCAGCTTTTTAAAATTCCATGTCTAACTGAGGTCATCTGTCTGTGCCTGGCTTATTTCACTTAGTATAGTGCCCCTCACTTTCATCCATGTTTTCACAAAAGACAAGATTCTCTTTTGACTCTCTTTTCTCAAAAATTATTATGTGTCCGAGTTCAAGGGAATTAAGTAAATCATGTGATTATTTAAAGCTTATGATAGAATGAGCCTTTTTTTTTTTCTTTTTAGGGTGACAGATGTGAAGATTTGGGTGTGAACGAAGACTTGGCTGATACAGATGCCAGGGTAAGCAAGGGCTCAGAAAATATTGCTGCAGTAGGTCTTCTTACACTGCACAGGTCACCCGTGTGACATCAGGGTTCAGATCTGCTGAGAAGCCAGTGGTTCCTTAACATTCCTTCCCTGAATGAGATACAGCTTCCTAGTTCAAGAGTGAAAATATGGTCTTTAAGTTTTCAATGGATCTCATACAGCCAGAGAGGATTAAAAGAGAACAATGAGAATTTTTGTTCGTTTGTTTTCCAAGAATTGCTTTTTTGAGAACAATTCTAAATTTTCATTTTATCAAGTATAAGAAAGGGAAGAAAAAATTTTAAGTTCAAAATATAAAACAGTAAGCACATCTAACATTCTTTTAACAGTGATTATGAAATGGTTTACAGATGCAAATTTATATTCTAAAATTTTTGCAGTGATATTATAAATACAATTTAAATTATAATATCAAAGTTATATCATTGAAAACATACTATTGCATACCATTCAATGAAGTTACCATTATTTATGCAGTAAACCATTGTTGATGTTAGAAAAAAGCAGAACATTTCAGATCTGGAATTTCCATTTAAAAAGAACAATTATTTGCATTATGCTTTCCCAACACAATGAGTCATTAAGGAAAAAAAAACTTATTTGTCCACCCACATCAACATATTGTACCAGTACATTATCTTGCAATAGGCACTAATTAACTTTTTGTTTAATTAAATACATACATAGTAGATCATTTTGCTTGAAAAGTTCAAAATAACTTTTTACTGAAAGTTTGATTGTTTAAACAGAAATTTTACAAGCATATAAAAGAACAAGAGAGAGCACTTGAATAATTGCCCATGATAAAAATTATTCTTGTTTGCTTGTGACATCTCTGAATATGTTTTCCATTTTAAGACTCTCAGGGCACTTAGATGTATATTTATAGAGGCTACATGGATTAGTGTGACCCAGGAGGATGATACTAATTAACATTTCAAAGTTAACAGAGCATACTTATGACAATAGGGCAGGGGATTATCTATTTCATTTACAAAAGATGAAAATTTGTGGTTTAGTAAAGTTAAATTATTTGCCTAAGATTATATAGCCTTTAAATTTCAGAGTCAGCATTTGAATCTTAGAAATTGTAATATCAAAACACCTGATCTAGCTTATGGTTAATTTATTGATTTACAAGTACCATTTAATGATAATTACTTTGAATAGTAGAGTAAGAATCTTTTAAAGAGAGTTACTTGAAGAGGTCTTGATGTGCAGCATAATCTTAAGGCAATATAATTCTGCAAACATGTGTTCTGCAAATATATTCTTGTCTCTAGGGTTTACATGGGACCTTGAGAGAATTAGTGGCAGACATGACAAACAAAATAGGTCCCTGTCATTGAGGAATGTGCAGTCTTCTTCTGGCATCCTCTCATTGTATTGAACACAGAGCAACTGTCTAGAAAAGCTTTGGGGAAAATCTACCATCCTGATGGACAGAACATTTTGGCAGATAGTCAAGCGTTTATCTTTTGTGTTTCTTGACAGGCCCTATATGAAGCAGGAGAAAGGAGAAAGGGGACAGATGTGAATGTGTTCAATACTATTCTTACCTCAAGAAGCTATCCCCATCTTCGTAGAGGTAACAAGAAAAATATTTTTGTGGTATCAGTTCATGGAAAATGGATTTTTTTTCACTGAGGATATATAGAGCAGGGAAAGAGAAAAGTCTTATTCAGGTCCCTCCTACATCATATGGCACAGTGCTCCTGACCCAATATAGCTATTTGCCCATTTTTACAATGTATTGGAAATACATTTTACATCTTTGGCACGCAGAACATTGTTTATTTTCACAGTTTCTATTCTCCCCAAAGATTTGGCTTAGATATGACAAAAAATACCCATATAATGGAACAAAACAAAAGTTACCACAAAGTAAAGCAAAACATACCAAAACACTTGGGGGTAAATGAAGAAAAGATTACACAGGTATTACAGAAAGCAAAAGTTAAACAAAACCAAACATAGCTCAAAAAGACTTCTGGCCTTTGAGCACAAGACTTGCTCTGAGCCCAACAGTAGCCAAGGCAAGAGTAATGCCATGATGCCTATCTAAAGCTCATTATCTTATAATAACACATTGATTTCTAATGCTAAACAAGAGAAAATCACCATGCAGATCTTTATATGGGGGAACATCCATTTGCTTTGGCACATAATTCTGCTGTAGTAAATGTTATAGTTGCCATCATGAGTCATTTCTAATAACTGTTAACACCTGCAAACTTTTCCCCAAATATACAGGAGCACCAAAATGGCCACATGGGTTACATTCCTAGGAGGAGATGAAATATTCATATTATGCTGATTTGTATGAATAGTTTTTAAAGTGTGGCTGGAGTTTAGCCAACCCTAGAATTTCCTTGAATCAGTTACCCTGATTTTGCTAGACTTTTTTAAAGGATGATTTGTATGTACCTTAATTTAAATTTAATGTTCAGTTTTTCAGAAATATACCAAATACAGCAAACATGACATGAACAAAGTCCTGGACCTGGAGCTGAAGGGTGACATTGAGAAGTGCCTTACAGCCATTGGTATGTAGTCCTGGGCTTCAAAGAAATTTCTAACTAGGAACTGTGTTTTTAATGTTGCCTAATATGTCAAACAAACCAACAAAGCACCAACCTTCAGAGGTGATACATCCATGTTTCAGATGGAGGCTATTTGTAAGACTGACAAAGAAGTATGATAATCTTCTTAATAGCAACAGATACTATTTCCCTTTTCAAAAACATGGAGAAGTAGAATGTACTTATCAAATACCTACTTATGCCAAGCGGTACACTAAGATGGACACACTGCTGCACAGTCAAGAATGGTCAACAAAGGCATGGGATTTGGAATTAGATAAATGTATATTCAAATTCTATTCTACCATTTGTTAGTTGTATGGTCTTGGTCAAGCCTAGGAGAATCTGATTTAGCAGTTTGAAGTTGGCTTCTGAAAATTTGAGTGTTTAAAAGGTCTTCTAGATTATTGAGATGACCATCAGAGTAAAAGAATCTGTATCTCAAGAAGTGCTGCTCAAATATTACCTTGCTTATGGTTGAATACGCTGGGAATTGTGTTAACATGCAGATCCTGATTCAGTAGGTTCTGCATTTCTAACAAGCCTCTGGTAGATAGGAGTAGGTCCATGGATCTCCCTTGGAATAGCAAATAAAGAAAACTCCACAAATAGACCTGTGCTAGTATTTTGTTTGAGCAGCTTCTTTATATTTAAAGCTTGTTGTATTGCAGGACTTTAAAAAAATGTTCTTATTACAAATGATTCAAATACTTACTTGTATGACCTTAAATACTTGCTTGTTTCCCTGTGTGCACTGAGAGTTTATTTGGGATAGCTGTAACTCTTGAAGTTGCAGTTGGGATGAATTAAATATAATTAGGAAATAGTTGATATTTTCAGGACCACCATCTGGAGAGTTACAATATCTTTCTTTAAGGTGAGTGTCTCATATTGGGATGGGAAAGAACTAGTGGTAGATGGAAACCTATTGGCAAAACTCTCTATTCCTGTTTCTTTCATATGCATCTTTCTTCTGTGATGAATATATCAACTAAAACTCATCTCTCTTGCAGTGAAGTGTGCCACAAGCAAACCAGCTTTCTTTGCTGAGAAGCTTCATCTGGCCATGAAGGTACCATCCACTCATATGCTTTGCTTAGAGAATAAATGTATTTGCAGTATAGAAAACCTAATATTGTTTGAAAATTGGAGTTAATATCTTCTCATTGAAGAGAATCTTTTTTCTATTCAATGCAAGAGAAAATCTACCACTTTATTTGTGTTAGATTTGGTGCATTTTTAAAAATACATGGATGTGGTTGTAATGGCAGCTTGTAAGTGATTTATGCCTGACTTGTGACTTGCAAAACTTGAGACACCAAGGGAAGGGTGATATACCTTCCCTTTTTTTTTTTTTTTTTTTTTTAATTTTTTATTGTTGGCTGTTCAAAACATTACATAGTTCTTGATATATCATATTTCACAATTTGATTCAAGTGGGTTATGAGCTCCCATTTTTACCCCATATACAGATTGCAGAATCACATCAGTTACACATCCATTGATTTACATATTGCCATACTAGTGTCTGTTGTATTCTGCTGCCTTTCCTATCCTCTACTATCCCCCCTCCCCTCCCCTCCCCTCCCCTCCCCTCCCCTCCCCTCCCCTCTTCTCTCTCTGCTCCCTCTACTGACATTCGTTTGTCCCCCTTATATTATTTTTCCCCTTCCCCTCACTTCCTCTTGTATGTACTTTTATATAACTCTGAGGGTCTCCTTCCATTTCCATGCATTTTCCCTTCTCTCTCCCTTTCCCTCCCACCTCTCATCCCTGTTTAATGTTAATCTTCTTCTCCTGCTCTTCGACCCTACTCTGTTCTTAGTTACTCTCCTTATATCAAAGAAGACATTTGGCATTTGTTTTTTAGGGATTGGCTAGCTTCACTTAGCATAATCTGCTCTAATGCCATCCATTTCCCTGTAAATTCTATGATTTTGTCATTTTTTAATGCAGAGTAATACTCCATTGTGTATAAATGCCACATTTTTTTTATCCATTCATCCATTGAAGGGCATCTAGGTTGGTTCCACAGTCTAGCTATTGTGAATTGTGCTGCTATGAACATAGATGTAGCAGTGTCCCTGTAGCATGCTCTTTTTAGGTCTTTAGGGAATAGACCAAGAAGGGGAATAGCTGGGTCAAATGGTGGCTCCATTCCCAGCTTTCCAAGAAATCTCCATACTGCTTTCCAAATTGGCTGCACCAATTTGCAGTCCCACCAGCAATGTACAAGTGTACCCTTTTCCCCACATCCTCGCCAGCACTTGTTGTTGTTTGACTTCATAATGGCTGCCAATCTAACTGGAGTGAGATGGTATCTTAGGGTGGTTTTGATTTGCATTTCTCTGACTGCTAGAGATGGTGAGCATTTTTTCATGTACTTGTTGATTGATTGTATGTCCTCCTCTGAGAAGTGTCTGTTCAGGTCCTTGGCCCATTTGTTGATTGGGTTGTTTGTTCTCTTATTGTCTAATTTTTTGAGTTCTTTGTATACTCTGGATATTAGGGCTCTATCTGAAGTGTGAGGAGTAAAGATTTGTTCCCAGGATGTAGGCTCTCTATTTACCTCTCTTATTGTTTCTTTTGCTGAGAAAAAACTTTTTAGTTTGAGTAAGTCCCATTTGTTGATTCTAGTTATTAACTTTTGTGCTATGGGTGTCCTATTGAGGAATTTGGAGCCCGACCCCACAGTATGTAGATCGTAGCCAACTTTTTCTTCTATCAGACGGCGTGTCTCTGATTTGATATCAAGCTCCTTGATCCATTTTGAATTCACTTTTGTGCATGGCGAGAGAAAGGGATTCAGTTTCATTTTGTTGCATATGGATTTCCAGTTTTCCCAGCACCATTTGTTGAAGATGCTATCCTTCCTCCATTGCATGCTTTTAGCCCCTTTATCAAATATAAGGTAGTTGTAGTTTTGTGGATTGATTTCTGTGTCCTCTATTCTGTACCATTGGTCCACCCGCCTGTTTTGGTACCAGTACCATGCTGTTTTTGTTACTATTGCTCTGTAGTATAGTTTGAAGTCTGGTATCGCTATACCGCCTGATTCACCCTTCCTGCTTAGCATTGTTTTTGCTATTCTGGGTCTTTTGTTTTTCCATATGAATTTCATGATTGCTTTCTCTATTTCTACAAGAAATGCCGTTGGGATTTTGATTGGCATTGCATTAAACCTGTAGAGAACTTTTGGTAATATCGCCATTTTGATGATGTTAGTTCTGCCTATCCATGAACAGGGTATATTTTTCCATCTTCTAAGATCTTCTTCTATTTCTCTCTTTAGGGTTCTGTAGTTTTCATTGTATAAGTCTTTCACCTCTTTTGTTAGGTTGATTCCCAAGTATTTTATTTTTTTTGAAGATATTGTGAATGGAGTGGTTGTCCTCATTTCCATTTCAGAGGATTTGTCGCTGATATACAGGAATGCCTTTGATTTATGCGTGTTGATTTTATATCCTGCCACTTTGCTGAATTCATTTATTAGCTCTAATAGTTTCTTTGTAGACCCTTTTGGGTCTGCTAGGTATAGAATCATGTCATCTGCAAATAGTGATAATTTAAGTTCTTCTTTTCCTATTTTGATGCCTTTAATTTCTTTCGTCTGTCTAATTGCTCTGGCCAGTGTTTCAAGAACTATGTTGAACAGAAGTGGAGAGAGAGGGCATCCCTGTCTTGTTCCAGATTTTAGAGGGAATGCCTTCAATTTTTCTCCATTCAGAATGATGCTAGCCTGAGGCTTAGCATAGATTGCTTTTACAATATTGAGGTATGTTCCTGTTATCCCTAGTTTTTCTAGAGTTTTGAACATAAAGGGATGCTGTACTTTGTCAAATGCTTTTTCCGCATCTATCGAGATGATCATATGATTCTTATTTTTAAGTCTATTGATGTGGTGAATAACATTTATTGATTTCCGTATATTGAACCAGCCTTGCATCCCAGGGATGAATCCTACTTGATCATGGTGCACAATTTTTTTGATAAGTTTTTGTATCCGAGTGGCCAGAATTTTATTGAGGATTTTTGCATCTAGGTTCATTAGAGATATTGGTCTGTAGTTTTCTTTCTTTGAAGTGTCTTTGTCTGGTTTAGGTATCAGGGTGATGTTGGCCTCGTAGAATGAATTTGGAAGTTCTCCCTCTTTTTCTATTTCCCGAAGTAGCTTGAAAAGTATTGGTATTAGTTCCTCTTTAAAGGTTTTGTAAAACTCTGCTGTATACCCATCTGGTCCTGGGCTTTTCTTAGTTGGTAGTCTTTTGATGGTTTCTTCTATTTCCTCAATTGATATTGGTCTGTTTAGGTTGTCTATATCCTCCTGACTCAATCTGGGCAGATCATATGACTTAAGAAATTTATCTATGCCTTCACTATCTTCTAATTTATTGGAGTATAAGGATTCAAAATAATTTTTGATTATCTTCTGTATTTCTGAAGTGTCTGTTGTGATATTGCCTCTTTCATCCCGTATGTTAGTAATTTGAGTTCTCTCTCTTCTTCTCTTCGCTAGCATGGCTAAGGGTCTGTCGATTTTGTTTATTTTTTCAAAGAACCAACTTTTAGTTTTGTCAATTTTTTCAATTGTTTCTTTTGTTTCGATTTCATTAATTTCAGCTCTGATTTTAATTATTTCTTGCCTTCTACTTCTTTTGCTGTTGTTTTGCTCTTCTTTTTCTAGGATTTTGAGATGAAGTATGAGATCATTTATTTGTTGGTTTTTTCTTTTTTTAAGGAATGAACTCCAAGCAATGAATTTTCCTCTTAGAACTGCTTTCAATGTGTCCCATAGATTCCGATATGTTGTGTCTGTGTTTTCATTAATCTCTAAGAATTTTTTAATTTCTTCCTTGATGTCTTCTATAACCCATTGATCATTCAGTAACCTATTGTTCATTCTCCAAGTGATGTATTCTTTTCCCTTCCTTCTTTTATCGTTGATTTTCAGTTCCATTCCATTATGATCAGATAGGATGCATGGTATTATCTCTACTCCTTTATATTGTCTAAGAGTTTCCCTGTGACATAATATATGATCTATTTTTGAGAAGGATCCATGTGCTGCTGAGAAAAAAGTGTAACTGCTTGATGTTGGGTGGTATACTCTATATATGTCAATTAAGTCTAGGTTATTAATTGTGTTATTGAGTTCTATAGTTTCCTTATTCAACTTTTGTTTGGAAGATCTGTCCAGTGGTGATAGAGGTGTGTTGAAGTCTCCCATGATTATTGTATGGTGGTCTATTAGACTCTTGAACTTGAGAAGAGTTTGTTTGATGAACATAGCTGCACCATTGTTTGGGGCATATATATTTATGATTGTTATGTCTTGTTGGTGTATGGTTCCCTTGAGCAGTATGTAGTATCCCTCTTTATCCCTTTTGATTAACTTTGGCTTGAAATCTATTTTATTTGATATGAGTATGGATACTCCTGCTTGTTTCCGAAGTCCATATGAGTGATATGATTTTTCCCAACCTTTCACCTTCAGCCTATGTATGTCTTTTCCTATCAAATGCGTCTCCTGTAGGCAGCATATTGTTGGGTCTTGTTTTGTGACCCATTCTACTAGCCTGTGTCTCTTGATTGGTGAGTTTAAGCCATTAACATTTAGGGTTATTATTGAGATATGGGTTGTTCTTCCAGCCATATTTGTTTATTTATGTTACTAAACATGGTTTGTTTTCCTCTTTGATTATTTTCCCCCCTTTAGTGTCCTACCTCCCACTGTTGGTTTTCATTGTTATTTTCCATTTCCTCTTCCTGTAATGTTTTGCCAAGGATGTTTTGAAGAGATGGTTTTCTAGCTGCAAATTCTTTTAACTTTTGTTTATCGTGGAAGGTTTTAATTTCATCTTCCATCCTGAAGCTTAATTTCGCTGGAAACACAATTCTTGGTTGGAACCCATTTTCTTTCAGTGTTTGAAATATGTTATTCCAGGATCTTCTAGCTTTCAGAGTCTGTGTTGAAAGATCAGCTGTTATCCTGATTGGCTTACCCCTAAATGTGATCTGCTTCCTTTCTCTTGTAGCTTTTAAAATTCTCTCCTTATTCTGTATGTTGGGCATCTTCATTATAATGTGTCTAGGTGTGGGTCTCTTATGATTTTGCACATTCGGCGTCCTGTAGGCTTCTAGGATTTGGGGTTCTGTCTCATTCTTCAAGTCTGGGAAGTTTTCTCGTATTATTTCATTGAATAGATTGCTCAATCCTTTGGTTTGAAACTCTGTCCCTTCCTGTATCCCAATGACTCTTAAATTTGGTCTCTTGATGTTATCCCATATTTCTTGGATGTTCTGCTCATGGTTTCTTAACAGTCTTGCTGAGCTGTCTATGTTCTTTTCAAGTTGAAATACTTTATCTTCATTGTCTGATGTTCTGTCTTCTAAGTGTTCTACTCTGCTGGTAGTATTCTCAATTGAGTTTTTAAGCTGGCTTATTGCTTCCTGCATTTCTAGGATTTCTGTTTGTTTGTTTTTTATAACCTCTATTTCCCTGTGTAGTTGATCTTTTGCTTCTTGGATTTGTTTATGTAATTCATTGTTGAAGTGATCTTTCATTGTCTGATTTTGCTGTCTGATGTCTTCCTTGAGACTCCAGATCATCTGAAGCATGTATATCCTGAATTCTTTATCTGACATTCCATCTGCTGCAGCTATTACCTCTTCTAATGTTGAGTTGACCTGCATTGCTTGTGGTCCTTTCTTTCCTTGTCTCTTCATACTGTTTGCGTTCCTTTCTACTTAGTGAAACTGTTGTGTTATTGAATTTTCCCCCTATATATTTATATTGGTCTTGTATAGTTGCAAAGTCTCCCTCGCAGGCGCGGGCGGCGGCTCTGTCCCACTGCGGGCCGCTAGGCTTGTTCTGTGGGTGGTCACAGTTCTGTCTACTTTGCAGGTGCAGGCAGCGGCACTGCCCCTCTGCAGGCCTCTGGGGCTGTACTGCCAGTGGGTCGCAGGTCCACCTACCTTGCAGGTGCGGGGGGGAGGGGGGGCGGCTCTACCCTTCCTCAGGCCACTGGGCCTGTTCTGTCTCTCGGTTGCAGGTCTGGCCTGTTCTGATGGTGGTCACAGTTCCACCTACCTGGCAGGCGCGGGGGGTGGGGGGCGGCTCTGCCCCCCAGCAGGCCCCTGGGCCTGCTCTGTGCGTGGTCACAGTTCCCTCTACCTTGCCGGTGCAGGGGGAGGGGGCGGCTCTGCCTCCCAGCAGGCCGCTGCTCCTCTTCTGCCAGTGGGTCGCAGGCCCGCCTACCTTGCAGGAGTGATTGGAAGCTCTGTCCCGCCGCGGGCCACTGGGCCTTTTCTGTCGGTGGTCACCTGGCAGGGGCGGGGGGTGGGGGGTGGCTCTGCCCCTCAGCAGGCCGCTGGGCCTGCTCTGTGCGTGGTCACAGTTCCCTCTACCTTGCCGGTGCAGGGGGAGGTGGCGGATCTGCCTCTCAGCAGGCTGCTGCTCCTCTTCTGCAGGTGGGTCGCAGGCCTGCCTACCTTGCAGGAGTGATTGGAAGCTCTGTCCCACCGCGGGCCACTGGGCCTTTTCTGTCGGTGGTCACCTGGCAGGGGCGTGGGGTGGGGGGTGGCTCTGCCCCTCCGCAGGCCGCTGGGCCTGCTCTGTCCGTGGTCACAGTTCCCCTACCTGGCAGGCGCGAGGGGTGGGGGGCGGCTCTGCCCCTCAGCAGGCCGCTGGGCCTGCTCTGTGCGTGGTCACAGTTCCCTCTACCTTGCCGGTGCAGGGGGAGGGGGCGGCTCTGCCTCTCAGCAGGTCGCTGCTCCTCTTCTGCCAGTGGGTCGCAGGCCCGCCTACCTTGCAGGAGTGATTGGAAGCTCTGTCCTGCCGCGGGACACTCGGCCTTTTCTGTCGGTGGTCACCTGGCAGGGGCGGGGGATGGGGGGTGGCTCTGCCCCTCAGCAGGCCGCTGGGCCTGCTCTGTGCGTGGTCACAGTTCCCTCTACTTTGCCGGCGCAGGGGGAGGGGGCGACTCTGCCTCTCAGCAGGTCGCTGCTCCTCCTCTGCCGGTGGGTCGCAGGCCCGCCTACCTTGCAGGAGTGATTGGAAGCTCTGTCCCGCCGCGGGCCACTGGGCCTTTTCTGTCCGTGGTCACAGTTCCCCTACCTGGCAGGCACGGGGGGTGGGGGGCGGCTCTGCCCCTCAGCAGGCCGCTGGGCCTGCTCTGTGCGTGGTCACAGTTCCCTCTACTTTGCCGGCGCAGGGGGAGGGGGCGGCTCTGCCTCTCAGCAGGTCGCTGCTCCTCCTCTGCCGGTGGGTCGCAGGCCCGCCCACCTTGTAGGAGTGATTGGAAGCTCTGTCCCACCGCGGGCCACTGGGCCTTTTCTGTCGGTGGTCACCTGGCAGGGGCGTGGGGTGGGGGGTGGCTCTGCCCCTCAGCAGGCCGCTGGGCCTGCTCTGTTCGTGGTCACAGTTCCCTCTACCTTGCCGGTGCAGGGGGAGGGGGCGGCTCTGCCTCTCAGCAGGTCGCTGCTCCTCTTCTGCAGGTGGGTCGCAGGCCCGCCTACCTTGCAGGAGTGATTGGAAGCTCTGCCCCGCCGCGGGCCACTGGGCCTTTTCTGTCCGTGGTCACAGTTCCCCTACCTGGCAGTCGCGAGGGGTGGGGGGCGGCTCTGCCCCTCAGCAGGCCGCTGGGCCTGCTCCTACCTTCCCTTTTAATGTGTGATTTTAGTAGCCTACTTCCACTAAAGTTGTGTGTTTTATAACCTTCCATTTTCTTTTTATTTATCTTTTTTATTATGCTGTCTTTTATGCCATGAATTAATAGTGAATCTTTTAAAATGTCATTCCATGGTTACAGAAGTAGTAGGTATTACTAAGATGAATTTGAGATACTTAAACCTATATCACTTTAACTTTACCGTCTAACATGCACAGTATTATACAGGATACCACCTCTATATTTTCATTTTGAGTTCTCAAATGAATAGTTATGAAGTTATCTTTGTTTACTCTTTGTACTCAAAAATGAGGAGGTCTTCAGAGAAATATAGGGGCAGGGGGTTTCTAACCATTCAAATACTACTAAGGAATCCTGGGAGATGGTAGAAACATTAGGCATGCCTAACACAAAATGACAAGTACTGGTATAGGGTACTTAGCACATTTGCTGTCACCATGCCTGCCACTGTCAGTGTGGTATTTAGATGGGTTATGATGACTACTTGGCATTAAGGGAGAGAAAAAAGGGACATGTGCCCCAGACTTCAGAAACCACGTAGGCTTGCTGTCAGCTAACCTAAGACCTGAACCTGAGTATACATGAGCCAGGTAAGGACAAGGGTGGATGATAAGGGGGACAAAGCAAGGGTGGTCCAAGAAGAGGAAACGGCACGTCCTTAAGCTTGAAAGCAGACAGTAGCACAACCCTTTTCAGGTGGTAAATATCATCAGAGTGACGGTGCACAGTGGAAGAGGTTGTGCAGTCAAGCAGGATATTGTAAGGCTGATAAAATGATTAGTTTTCATCCTGAGAGCAACAGGAGACTGATGAAGTATTTTAACTAGATGAGCTAGATGATCTAAGTCACAATTTTGTAAAAATGCTCTTTATTTGCAATTGTTGGATGGTTCAGACATAGGAAAGACTGACTGGTAGAAGGCCAGTTAGGAGGTTGAAAAGCTTTAATCAGGCAGCTGGTTTCTTTTAATTTCATTACCACTTGTCTGGGTACCCCCGTGTGTGTGTGTGTGTGTGTGTGTGTGTGTGTGGTGTAAGAATAGGGAGGTAGTTTCTCCATAGAGATTATATGAAAAGATAAAAAGGGATTCATTTTAAAATCCCTCTTTAATGAGAGTTCCTTCTGAATACAAGAAATAACACAATTTTATTTATTTATTTATTTTTTGTATAGGGTGCTGGAACTCGTCATAAGACGTTGATCAGAGTTATGGTCTCCCGTTCTGAAATCGACATGAATGAAATCAAAGCATACTATCAGAAGATGTATGGTATCTCTCTGTGCCAAGCCATTCTGGTATGTAGTGCTTTTTATAGTCTCACCTCCTCAAATGAAATTTCTTTTAGGAACATCTTCAAAAGAAGAACTGACCAAATACATAATTAAATCTGTAGAAAACTTAAAATCTTATTTTCTGAGATAAGGAAAATTATTTGCCTGTTATTTAAGTAACTGATTTTTTTTCACATTTCTTTCTTGTATTAGCTCTAGATTTACATTAACATTTTGTCTAGCATTTATAGGTTCATAGTGTGGCTGGAAGAGGTTTTTATGTTTCTTCAAATAGAAGTATTCAAATATCATTGTAATAACTTATTTTATTTTTTAAATGACAAAAACAAAAAAGAACTCATTGTATCCATAAATTTCATATATAAGATTAATTCAGTATATCTAGGTGAATACTTCGTCAATAAACTTTCACTGGCAAAATCTACTCACTAGTAATGGAGAACTAGTACATTTTTCAATTTAAATCATGAAAATGTTTACTTGCTCTTGCATAAATATTCAAAATATTTCAGAATTTTTACTAGCATAGACATCATGATTTATTTTGCAATTAAAATCTGTCAGAAGATAAAAGGCTTATTATTAAAATATTTTAATTAATTTTATCATGGTAAAATGTATGAAATATATGTTAAAGTTATCTCATTTGGATGTTGAAATATAAGACAGAAAGAAAAGTCAAGGATTTTGAACATATTGAAAGATTGATAACTATTTAAATTTGTATCCAATAACTAAAAACTACAAATAAAAAGTGAGTGATTCTGGTGAGTGAATCAAAATATTTTTCTCATATATATGAGGTTATATTTGTAATACTTTATTCAATCCCATATAATGTATTTTACCCTTAGATAAAAATGGCTCTAACATATAACATAATTAACTCAGGAAAGTTTATAATTTGAATCTTGAAAGCCCTTGCTTTTTGTACAACAATCCACACTTACCAGATTTTGGCTGTACATATTATTTAATTATACAAACAGTATTTTGATTATAGATCCCAGATCACTGAAGAACTGCAATGTATGATATAGTCTGTAAATATGCAATTTTTCTACAATTAAAAATATATTGTTTAAGATTTTGCATAGCACTAATGGTACACTATTTTTGAATCAACAGGATGAAACCAAGGGAGATTATGAAAAAATCCTGGTGGCCCTTTGTGGAGGAAACTAAACAATCCATTGATGTTCTCAAGCCTTCTCATCAGAAGATTGCTGAATTGTAGCTCTTCATTCTGTAACAGGGTTAACTAGGAAGGTTTGCTCAGTGGGATTACAAGTCTTGCTACCTACTTTCTGAAATATATAGCCTATAAGTCATTTTTATATCACAACTCTGTATAGTAGAGAGAAACTTTTTTTTTTAAAAAAAAAATATGTTTACCTTAAACCCTAAAACCCCATAAACAAGTTGTTCTGGTAACTACCTGAGAAAGGTACAAGTAGTTGAAAATAAAGTGTTACAAGACAATTGGTGTCATTGGCCCCTTATTCTGATTTTCTTTTATGTGTAATGCAGAGATTTAATTTGGTATCAAGGGACTGGAGCCTGAATGCTAATTGACAATTATTTAATGAAATCATTTTCACATGCTAAATTGAAGAAAATATTAATGGAGTTGGAAAATGAACTCCTTAACATTTTGTCATCTGAGTACAGATTACCAAGAGGCTGTCTGGATTTCTATTGCACCAACATTATAATTGACATCTGCAATATTTCATGGAGTAGTATAAAAATGAAATGGCAACACCAACAAAAAGTTTCTCATGTTTGTTTCTGGGCAATTGCATGTTGATTTTTTTCTAAGAAAACCTGTCAAACATATCAAAAGTGGTAATACCATTTTACTTTGCCATCATAAATGGAACAGTGGTTGAGTTTCTCCACACCCTTGCTAGAATTTGGTGTTGTCACTAGTTTATTTCTTATTGATGATTTTTGAGAATCCTTTGCATATTCTAGATAATAGTTATTTGCCAGATTTTCTCTGTTTGTAATATTTTCTTACAGTGAGTAGCTTTTTTTTTCATTCTCTTTATATTTAGGAATATTAAAAATTTTGTTCTTTTTAGTTGTACATTACAGTAGAGTCAATTTTGACATATATATACAAACATGACTTTTTGGAACAAAAGTTTAAAATTTTAATAAAATCCAATTTATTTATTTTTCTTTTGATAGATTTTACTTTTAATAGCATATTTACAAACTCTTCACCTAATTTGAAGTTCTGAAATTTCTTCTCCTTCCCAAAGTTGTGGGAAGAAAGGACATGTATGAGGAAGGAATGAGACTCAGTAAAAATTTACTTCGGATGCCAGGCCTTTGACAGGAGATAATTTTAATCACAAGTATCCAAAAATAACAAAAGTAAATACATCTTTTTTTTTCTTACAAATACTGTGATTCTTTTTTTTCCCCTGCCTGCCCCTTTCCTACCTTTCTTCCTCCTTCCTGCTTGCTTCTTACTTTTTGTGGTAAATCTAGTGAACAAAACAATAAAAGGCAATTTTGCATTATTTGCCAATATTTTTTTGTGATAGCATATGCCCTTTTAATAACCAGATTTAAAGAAAACATGGTTGAGACATGCAAATAGCAGCTATAAGAAATAAACATTTTTGTCAAGATTTAGGAGAAGGGGGTGAATAAAAAGGTGATAGTCTCAAGTTCCACAACAAGATATTAAAATTAAAGATCATGCTAAGAAATAAGGTCCCCCTGGTAAGGATATTTCTCTTGGTAAACTGTGGTGTAGGTAAAATTCTGACAATACTCTGTATGTAATGATTAAACTCAGGGAAAACTTGCTATCCCCTCTATTTGTCTTTCTAATTAAATGAATGGCTCAGATCTATCTGTGTTAAGCTCTTAATTCTTTCAAATAGTCTTTGGTTAAGTCTTCCTCCTGTTTTCCATAATCTTGTGCTGTAATTTCCTAATCAGCTGTCCTTGTTTTTCTCCAGGTTTCACAAGGGTAGGAACTATGCTTGTTCGATTCGCTTCTGTGTTTGTAGTACCTAACCCAGTCCTGGCTGATAATATATGCTTGAAAAATTAAATATATGAATGCACACACACATTAAGCATGCAGTCAGTATTTTGCATTGGCACAAACTCTATTACTTTTTTTTTTTTTTTTTGGCCTGGTACATTAGTTTTTCAAATTCACACACACACACACACACACACAATACTTGTTGGTTTTGACATGGAGAAGTAGAAACTAAATACTATCAATGATTAATCTCTCAAATAAAATAGTAATTATATCTAGAAGTAGTACAAGAGAGAAAATATGTCATGCTATAATACCTTCCCCGTGTACTAATTATTGGTCCTTCCATCTCTTTTTATTCTCAGGATGTACTTGCTTTATGTCTTTCATCTATGTCTAAAATGTTCCACAAGCTCCTCGCTCCTTGCTTATATATGAACTTTATCTATCCTCATTTGCATGCTTTTCTTATTATTAAATAATAAAGCAAATACCCATATATTGTACCCTGTGATACTTCTGATAATACCTCTGCCACTGGAGTTCCCAGGTCAATTCGTTCAAGCCCCCTTTATTTGACTCCCTTCTTCCTTTATCTCCTTGTTCCTTAATACCTTGTATGAAATGAACAGTGATAGTTTCTAGGAACATATCAAATAAGATTGTGGTCCTACATAGGTAACAGAAAAGATGTCTAATAATGGTGAAATAAATGGGATTTTTATTTTCGTCATCTTCCTCCCCCCAATACAGGAAAGACTGTTTGCATTGTTGCATTGGGTTAGGATTGAATGACAGCAGGAAATGCTCTGTTCTTTTGGCATTTCCAGTTAGTGGTTATCTCATTGTTTCAAAATGGCAGCCAGAGCTCCAGCAAGGAAAAAAAAATGAAAATAAAAAAGGGAAGTAAGAGAAGGTGGAGCCAGTTGCATATTTTCTCTCTCATTCTTTTTCCCTCCTAGAAAACTTTCTCCCATCCCCACCTCAGCAGACTGTGTTTTAAGAATCACTGATCAGATTGGAAATAGGGTGGCATAATTGGTCTCAGCCAGTGGTCTTCAATCAGGGCCAGGTTTGGCCCCCAGAAGACAGGACAATGTCAGGAGACATTGTGAAGCTACTACAAATGGGAGATGGTGTTACTGGCATTCAGTGGGTAGAAGCAGATGACACCTGTGAATATCTGACTACAACCTGCAGGACAGCAGCTCCTCCCCCCTGCAAGAATTACTTTGTCTAAGTTTCATGGAATTCTTATTAAAAATTAAGTCATATAACACTCTTGTCCATTTTATTATGGGTTATTCATCAAGGGAAAATCAAGCAAAATATTACTTACTATCTTGAGGAGAGGTCTAAAACTTACAAAATATTCCCAATTATTCTTCACATTAATTACAACATATTATTTACTTATTTTTATTGACTTACCCCATACCTTGCTCTCTTTTGTCTCTACTCTCATAGGCAACCTAGCATTAGTATGCATTTGATGTTTATCTCTAATTAGATATTTTTGTACACATTCTTTAATTTTGTTTTTCATCAGAATTGAATTCATAGTAAATTGCCTTTAGATCTGCAAAATGAGGTTGAACTCCAAGATGCTAGTTTGGTCTAGAATTTCATATTTTTTTTGGGTGGGGGCAGGTACTGGGGATTGAACCCAGAGGTACTTTACCACTGAGTTACAACCTCAGCTCTTTTAATGTTTTATTTTAGGACAGGGTCTCACTAACTAAGTTACTTAGGGCCTCCCTAAGTTGCTGAGGCTGGCTTCAAACTTACAATCCTCCTGCCCCAGCCTCCAAGCCACCGATATTACAGGTGTGCACCACAGAGCCTGCAAGGATTTCTATTTTTAATGAATAAATTTAGGATATCTGTACCCTTACTACTAGAATCTACATTTCAATTTTTTCACATTTCTTTCCATTAAATACTAACAATAACAATTGCAAAATTGTAAGTATAAAATGATTACCTTATCAAAAAGCAAATATGATCATCATTAGTACTTCTACCACCCAACAGTCCCACACCACACACACACACACACACACACACACACAGAGTTAACACTGCTTTGTTGACTTCCAATTGCTTTTAGGAAAGAGACAACTTTCTTATGGAGACAAATAATATGTGACATGACCTGGGTCTCACCCAGCGTCCCATCTTGGGTCAGCATGTTCTCTGGCACTTTCTGTACTCCACCTTTGTGGGTATTCTACAATCTTTACTTCTTCAAATGCTCACATTTTATACTTTCTCACTCTAAACATATCTGTTCTCCTCTCATTCTTGTTAACTTCAGTAATCCTAGAGCTATCAACTGAAGGCCCCTAACAGACATTTTTTAGCACTTAAGCCTCTATATTATAGTGCATTCCAGAGTTGTAATTATATGCTAACAGTTTTTCAGCATAATTACTTTTTGGCTCAGAGGATTGTATTCTATGAACAAGACTTAAGAATAATCATGTTTTTTTTTCATTTTGTTTTGTTTTTTGCAAGTGTTATGCAATATTGCTAGCCAAAGAAGAGGGAGAAGAAAAGACATTTGTAAATATTTGCTTAGGGCTTTTTATGACACAGGAGCAGAGTGGTTCAGAGGATAGTGACCTGGAAACCAAAAAGATCTGTCTAATCAAACTTCTACCGTGGCCCCAAAGGTAACAATTACCTTTTCTAATTTCTAGATTTTCATTAGTAAAATTCTGCTATCCCTACCTGCTATTCAGAGTTGCTACAAGGATTATATATGATAGAGTTAAAGCAATTGACAGTTAACAGGAAATAATCAGAGGAATAGCTGATATCAAGCCAATTAAGAGAAAGTGAAAAAATTCAATGCTTTCAAGTGCTAACATAATTGTTAATGATAGGCCAAACAGAATAATTGAATCAGATTTTAGTTTTCATCCACATTTGCTGATATAGATGGTAGAGATCTTGTGGTGATTAAATTTGGATTAAGCTAATTCTCAACTCCAAACTGAAATGACTTTGAATAATTGTATGATCATATATCGCGGAGGGACTCTAACCTAGGAAACAGATTCAGGTTCCCAGCAGGTGGAAGAAGATGCAAGACACAGTTAGAATAGTTGACATGCTTTATTCAGATGTGACAACAGCCTCTAGCCTCCAGCTTCAGCTTTAGCCCCCAGCCAGTTACATTTTGCCCCAGTCATTGCCATTTAGCCCCCGAGTCTTTTTCATAGGCCCTTTTTATATGTAGGCCAAACAGAGAATGTACACTGCCAACATGTTACATAAGTAGGTGCAGGCTCACAAGCAGACTTTTATGACCTTGAGTATGTAGGCTGAATCAGAGTGTTTCTGGCCTTGACTA